ACTAAACACAGTCTAAACCAGGTCTAAACCAGAACTAGACCAGGACTAAACCAGGACTAAACTAGGATTAAACCAGGTCTAAACAAGTTCTAAACCAGGACTGAATCAGGTCTAAACCAGGTCTAAACCAGGTCTAAATCAGGTCCACACCAGGACTAAACCAGGGCTAAACCAGGTCTAAACAAGGTCTAAACCAGGACTAAACCAGGTCTAAACCAGGACTAAACCAGGTCTAAACCAGGACTGAATCAGGTCTAAACCAGGTCTAAACCAGGACTAAACCAGGATTGAATCAGGTCTAAACCAGGTCTAAACCAGGTCTAAACTAGGACTAAACCAGGACTGAATCAGGTCTAAATCAGGACTAAACCAGGACTAAACCAGGACTAAACCAGGACTAAATCAGGACTAAACTAGGGCTTTACCAGACTTAGCTCAGAGCCAGACCACAAGAATCATTATCTAGTATCATGTATCAAGTATTGTGTATCGAGTATCTAGTATAGAGTATCATGTATCGAGTATATCGTGTATTGAGTATCTAGTATCGAGCATTGAGTATATCGAGTATGTGTTCCTGAGTGCGGTCTGTTAAGCCCCGCCCCTCTGTGCAGGTCGGAGACAGTGGTGCGCCATCGGGGTGCTAGTCGCCGTCATGATCCTCGTCCTCATCCTCTTCTTCGCCCTCTGAACCCTGTGAACTTTGACCTCCGCTGTACCGGAAACCAGGCCCCGCCCACTCCCGGGCTCAGAACGCTCCTGATTGGCCGCCCCACCTGTCCGTCACTCTTTTCCACAAAAAAAAAAAGAAAAGAGTCAAACCGAGAAGAAGAAGAAGAAGAACAGCGGGAGGAGGGCGTTTCCCGTTTTGAACGCCGCGTTGAGTCCGCGGCTGAAATCATGGTGCAGTTTTCAGTTTTATTTGATTTTTTTTATCATTATTTTGTGATTTTACGGTGTGCGTTGATTTAAAAAAATGTAAACACAAACTTAAATCACCAGAAACAAGGCTGTACTTTTTTTCTTTAAAGACGGGGTATCGACTTTTTACAGCTTTTCTCACACCGATCCTTGTCCAAAACCCGCGTGAAGAGGTTTTACGCTCGTCCACGCAGGTTTGAGTCATCGAGAGATCTCTCCCAGGCCATAATCAAACAGTCAGCAGTGTGTACGAAGCTCCGCCCACAAGCCTACGTCGTCCAATCTTTAATACCCCAGAGAAGTAAATACCCCGTCTTTAAATCCACGAGTTCATTTCAAGTGTCTTGGTCGTCGACAGAAGGCCGCAGGTTCGTCGGTTCGTCAGATCGTTCGGATCGTCGGTTCGTCGGATCGTCGGATCGTCGGTTCGTCGGTTCGTCGGTTCGTCGGATCGTCGGATCGTCGGTTCGTCGGATCGTCGGTTCGTCGGTTTCGTCGGATCGTCGGTTCGTCGGATCGTCGGTTCGTCGGTTCGTCGGATCGTCGTTCGTCGATCGTCGGTTTCGTCGGATCGTCGGTTCGTCGGTTCGTCGGTTCGTCGGATCGTCGTTCGTCGGATCGTCGGTTTGTCGATCGGCGGATCGTCGGTTCGGCGGATCGTCGTTCGTCGATCGGCGGATCGTCGGTTCGTCGATCGGCGGATCGTCGTTCGTCGGTTCGTCGGATCGTCGGTTCGGCGGATCGTCGGTTCGTCGGATCGTCGGTTCGTCGATCGGCGGATCGTCGGTTCGGCGGATCGTCGGTTCGTCAGATCGGCGGATCGTCGGTTCGTCGATCGGCGGATCGTCGGATCGTCGTTCGTCGATCGTCGGTTCGGCGGATCGTCGGTTCGTCGGATCGTCGGTTTGTCAGATCGTCGGTTCGCGGATCGTCGGTTCGTCAGATCGGCGGATCGTCGGTTCGTCAGATCGTCGGATCGGCGGTTCGGATCGGCGTTCGGCGATCGTCGGCGGATCGGCGGTCGGCGGATCGTCGGTTCGGCGGATCGTCGGTTCGTCGGATCGTCGGTTGTCGATCGGCGGATCGTCGGTTCGGTTCGGATCGGTCGGCGGATCGTCGGCGGTTCGCGGATCGTCGGTTCGTCGGATCGTCGGTTTGTCAGATCGGCGGATCGTCGGTTCATCGGCGGATCGTCGGTTCAGATCGGCGATCGGCGGATCGGCGGATCGTCGCGGGCGGTTCGTCGGCGGATCGTCGGTTCGTCGGATCGGCGGTTCGGCGGTTCGTTGCCTGGAGGTTGGCGGTTGGATTCCCATCACTTGCATTGCTGCGGTGTCCTCGGGCAAGACATCTGTCGTCTGTCCCCCGGGCGACCGCGGCTTCAGGACGATGCAACGTAACGAAACGTAAATGTCCCGAACGACGCAAAAACGGACTCCAGAGAACTTCACCTCAGGTTCTGATGTTTCCTCAAAAACAAACCTGGAGTCGAGTTTGTTTTATTCTCACGTTTGAGTGAAACTTTATTATGAGTCCGTTTAGACCTGGTTTAGTCCTGGTTTAGACCTGGTTTAGTCCTGGTTTAGACCTGGTTTAGACCTGGTTTAGTCCTGATTTAGACCTGGTTTAGTCCTGGTTTAGACCTGGTTTAGTCCTGGTTTAGTCCTGGTTTAGTCCTGGTTTAGACCTGGTTTAGACCTGGTTTAGACCTGGTTTAGTTCTGGTTTAGACCTGGTTTAGTCCTGGTTTAGACCTGGTTTAGTTTTGGTTTAGTTTTGGTTTAGTTCTGGTTTAGTTCTGGTTTACAGAATTACACAAATTCACATATTTCCTCTATAACATATTTTTTAAACATTCTCTGATAAATCCACAAATTCAGACGCACAAATAAGTGTGTGTGTGTGTGTGTGTGTGTGTGTGTGTGTGTGTGTGTGTGTGTGTGTGTGTGTGTGTGTGTGTGTGTGTGTGTGTGTGTGTGTGTGTGTGTAACATTAATGTATTTTCTAGAAGTTCAGTTTCTTATTAATTATTTGTTGTTATGAAATTATTATACGAGTTTGCAAACCTCAGAGTCTAAATGAACTCGTGTAACAGCACTGCCCTCTAGTGGACACATGTGTGTGTGTCTGTGTGTGGATTTCTTAGACCTGGTTTAGTCCTGGTTTAGTCCTGGTTTAGTCCTGGTTTAGTCCTGGATTAAAAAACTAAAGAAACACAAAATGAGTTTCCAGAAAACTTCTTCTTCCTCTAAAACATGAACTTTTTCTTCCTAAATCGTCTTTTGGAGCTAAAACTTGAAGCAGGTTCTAATCGAGGATCTGAAACTAACATGTTTTTAAATGGAACAATAAGCCTGAAAATTATTATTATTATTATTATTATTATTCCATTTCCTATCATATTTTTCTTTGTTTTTCTAGATTTTACTGATTGTGAATTATGTTTTTTAAAGTTTTCTAAACATAAATCTGATATTATTGAAGCTTTAAAACAAAATAATCGTGACTGAACCAAAAATCGAAACAGAAAAACATCACGAGGACAAAAATCAAACGTCCTGGTCCAGTACGGCTCGTTTACCCGACGTTTACACAACGATTTTAGATTTTAGAGTTTGAAAAGAACTCTAGAGTGTAAATGTTTGTGAGTTAAACGTGTGAATAAAACAAAACTCAACTCCAGGTGTTTTTGCCACGAGGAAACAGCATCAGAACGAGAGGAAGTGGCTGTTTAAGCGTCTTTATAAAATGTTTGACTGGTTTATGTTGTAAAACCTTTGAATATTTTCTGTTTTTTTGGCTGGTCGCGGCCGAACGCGTCGGGTCTGTGGATCGGGGGAGCGGGTTTTTCAGTGTTGCCTTAAAACTGTATATTTTTGTAAAGTGTTTGTGAAATGTGCCTAAATGAACCAAGACTGTAACAAACCAACCTGTGTCAGACGCCATTTTTGTAGTTTTCTAACAAGATTCACAACAAAGACAAGTGACAGTCTCAAGGGGGTTTAGACCTGGTTTAGACCTGGTTTAGACCTGGTTTAGACCTGGTTTAGTTCTGGTTTAGACCTGGTTTAGACCTGGTTTAGTTCTGGTTTAGACCTGGTTTAGTTCTGGTTTAGACCTGGTTTAGACCTGGTTTAGTCCTGGTTTAGTTCTGGTTTAGTCCTGGTTTAGTTCTGGTTTAGACCTGGTTTAGACCTGGTTTAGTTCTGGTTTAGACCTGGTTTAGTTCTGGTTTAGACCTGGTTTAGACCTGGTTTAGTCCTGGTTTAGACCTGGTTTAGTCCTGGTTTAGTTCTTGTTTAGTCCTGGTTTAGTCCTGGTTTAGTTCTGGTTTAGTCCTGGTTTAGTCCTGGTTTAGTTCTGGTTTAGACCTGGTTTAGACCTGGTTTAGACTGGTTTAGACCTGGTTTAGTTCTGGTTTAGACCTGGTTTAGACCTGGTTTAGTCTGGTTTAGTTTTAGTCTGGTTTTTGGTTAGACCTGGTTTAGTCCTGGTTTAGTCTGGTTTAGTCCTGGTTTAGTCTGGTTTGGTTTAGACCTGGTTTAGTTCTGGTTTAGACCTGGTTTAGTTTTTTAGACCTGGTTTAGACCTGGTTTAGTCCTGGTTTAGTCCTGGTTTAGTCCTGGTTTAGTTCTGGTTTAGTCCTGGTTTAGTCCTGGTTTAGTTCTGGTTTAGTCCTGGTTTAGTCCTGGTTTAGTTCTGGTTTAGTCCTGGTTTAGACCTGGTTTAGTCCTGGTTTAGACCTGGTTTAGTTCTGGTTTAGACCTGGTTTAGTCCTGGTTTAGTTCTGGTTTAGTCCTGGTTTAGACCTGGTTTAGTCCTGGTTTAGACCTGGTTTAGTTCTGGTTTAGACCTGGTTTAGTTCTTGTTTAGTCCTGGTTTAGTCCTGGTTTAGTCCTGGTTTAGTTCTGGTTTAGTCTGGTTTAGTCCTGGTTTAGACCTGGTTTAGTTCTGGTTTAGTTCTGGTTTAGTCTGGTTTAGACCTGGTTTAGTCCTGGTTTAGACCTGGTTTAGACCTGGTTTAGTCCTGGTTTAGACCTGGTTTAGACCTGGTTTAGTTCTGGTTTAGTTCTGGTTTACAGAATTACACAAATTCACATATTTCCTCTATAACATATTTTTTAAACATTCTTTTTGAGAAATACACAAATTCAGACGCACAAATAAGTGTGTGTGTGTGTGTGTGTGTGTGTCTGTGTGTGTGTGTGTGTGTGTGTGTCTGTGTGTGTGTGTGTGTGTGTGTGTGTGTGTGTGTGTGTGTGTGTGTGTGTCTGTGTGTGTGTGTGTGTGTGTGTGTGTGTGTGTGTGTGTCTGTGTGTGTGTGTGTATGTGTGTGTGTGTGTGTGTGTCTGTGTGTGTGTGTGTGTGTGTGTATGTGTGTGTGTGTGTGTGTGTGTGTGTGTGTGTGTGTGTGATGTGTGTGTGTGTGTGTCTGTGTATGTGTGTGTATGTGTGTCTGTGTCTGTGTGTGTGTCTGTGTGTGTGTGTAGTGTGTCTGTGTGTGTGTAGTCCTGTGTGTGTATGTCCTGGTTTAGTGTCTGGTTTAGTCCTGGTTTAGTCCTGGTTTAGTTCCTGGTTTAGTTCTGGTTTAGACCTGGTTTAGTTTGGGGTTTAGTCCTGGTTTAGTCCTGGTTTAGTCCTGTTTAGTCTGGTTTAGTCCTGGTTTAGTTTTAGTCTGGTTTAGTCCTGGTTTAGTCCTGGTTTAGACCTGGTTTAGTTCCTGGTTTTAGTCCTGGTTTAGACCTGGTTTAGTCCTGGTTTAGACCTGGTTTAGTCTGGTTTAGTCCTGGTTTAGACCTGGTTTAGACCTGGTTTAGTCCTGGTTTAGTCCTGGTTTAGTCCTGGTTTAGACCTGGTTTAGACCTGGTTTAGTCCTGGTTTAGTCCTGGTTTAGTTCTGGTTTAGTCCTGGTCTAGTCCTGGTCCAGGTCTGTTAGACTCAACAGATTCAGGTTTTATAAAACTCCTCAAATGTTTTTCACACAGTCACGTGTTTATAGAAAATAATTTAAGAAAATATTTCACTCTCAATCATGGAGTCAACATTTTCAGTTGTTTTATCAGATAAATAATTTTCTAAAACAGCAGAATTTGAGGTGTTTCGAGTCCTGACCGTTCGGAGGATTTGTAAGAGGATTTAAAGACACATTTTTGTTTTCATGAACGAGGTTCATCGTTTGTAAAAAAAAAAAAAATCACAGGAAAAACAAACGGACTCGACCCAGACTCGTGTTTCTCTGTCATGGTGCAAAGTTCAGAGTGGGCGGGGCTAAAACTAAACTCTTATTTTATTTTTATTTTTTAATTATTTTCTGCGTTTGTGAGTCGTGTTTTAAAATCAGGTCCAGGTTTAAATGTGACGAGTGTTTTTGTGTTTTTTACGTCGATCTGGACATTGAACATTTCCGATTGTGTTTATGATGAAGTGAATAAAAATCATGTGTTTGTATAAAACGTGCAGCTTTTATCACGTCTCAACTTCAGACTTTTATCGTTTTCACAGGGTTCAGCACGATCGATCAAACTTTATTTACAGAGATTTTCAAACAAAATAATGCAACACAAAGTTTGGTTTTCACATTATTCTCTGTGACATGATTATCTTTTTTTTTTTTTTTTTTTACAACTGTTTGGAATCTTGAACATGAAGAGAAAAAAGGAAGAAACAATCTGCAGCATCAAACAACAGAAACACAGAACAGACAAAACGACAAAACTAAAGCACCGCGGACGAGAAGGAAGCGAAGTCGACCCCAAAATCTACAGACAAACTCTAGACCAGGAGTGTTCAACTCTTTTTTGGAACCATGTTTCATTCGTTCATTTGTTTTTCAATATAAAACCAAAAATAAGAAAACGAAACAACAGTTTTCTTCATTATTTGTCTCCAAACCCAAAACAAAAAACAGATAATGACTCGTTTTTTCAGTTTTCAATTTTGTTTTTTAAATGAAAAATGGAAAAAACTGATAACGGTGTTTACGTGACTCCAGGACTGAACCAGGACTGAACCAGGACTGAACCAGGACTGAACCAGGACTGAACCAGGACTGATCCAGGACTGATCCAGGACTGATACAGGACTGAACCAGGACTGAACAGGACTGAACCAGGACTGATCCAGGACTGAACCAGGACTGAAGGACTGAACCAGGACTGAACCAGGACTGATCCAGGACAGGACTGATCCAGGACTCCAGACTGAACCAGGACTGATCCAGGACTGAACCAGGACTGAACCAGGACTGATCCAGGACTGAACCAGGACTGAACCAGGACTGATCCAGGACTGATCCAGGACTGAACCAGGACTGAACCAGGACTGATCCAGGACTGATCCAGGACTGAACCAGGACCAGAGCTTTGACTCCAAGCCTCAGCTTCAAGCCTGGGCCCTGCCGTGGGCTCTGAGCCTCCGGTCTGGTCCTGGTCTGGTCTCAGTCTCAGTCTGGTCCCGGTTTGGTCCCGGCCTGGTCTCAGTCTCAGTCCGGTCCCAGTCTGGTCCTGGTCTGGTCTCGGACTTGGATCAGTCCTGGTTCAGTCCAACATCACAGTCACAGGAGACACGTAAACAGTCGTTATTCATTTTTTCCATTTTTCATTTAAACCCAAAATCGAAAACTGAAAAAACAAATCATGATCTGTTTTTTCGTTTTGGTTTTGGAGACAAATAATGAAGAAAACTGTTGTTTTTTCATTTTCTTATTTTTGGTTTTATATTGAAAAACAAATGAACGAACGACACATGGATTTTTTGTTCTGGGGGTCGTGTCCAAACGACTTTGATCCAAAGTGTCCGGATCAGAAAACTCATGTCATATAAACCCCAAAAATAACAAGAAGTTCAAATATTTGTGCAGAGAAACACAAATCTATTACACAAATCTTTTTTAACTGATGAACTCTTTCTTTTACTAAATATTATAATATTATGAACAACCTGAAACTTTAAGAAAAATACAATTTCAACACAAAGTTTTAACTTTAACTTGTTTGCATTTCATAGAATTTAGTCGTGTTTTTCTTTTTGCTGCTGAAACTTGGATCTTTTATCCTGAACAAGTTCATCAACATCAGACACAGTGACGACGTGAAAAGTAAAGGAACAGAGAAGTTGGAAACGTAAGTAAAAGGGTTCGGTCAAGTGGTAACGGAGGAAACAGGGTCAGATTTTTGACATTCAAATGTCTCTTATTCAGAAACTAGAGGAACTATTGAAATAAGTAAAGTATCAGAATGTAGGAAAGAGTTACACTCCAACAGGGTCAAGTTAAACCTGTGAGATTCTTTCAAGTTCAAGACAAAAAAATAAAAAAAACTCATGTTGGTAACGGAGGGAATGAAATATGCAGCACTTTTTGGTCAATAAATCCAAACAGTGATAACTCTTGGTTCTCACTTCCATATCCTTAACAAACTGGTTTGAATATTTGCTTCATATAGTTTTCTACCATATGGTACAAGATTAGGTTGAAAAACCTCTGACTTTTTGACTCATGAGATTTTTTATTAAGAAAGTTCATGGTAACGGAGGGAAAAGTAACGGAGGGAAAATTGTACAAACAAGTAGAAGGTGCAGGATTTTACATCATTTGTCGCTTTTTTCTTCTGAATATTTTAATATTACTTCAAAATGAAAGAAACTATTTCTATAAAATATGTCAGTCCTTCCAAGAACATTTTTATCATTTTAAATATATTATTTTTTTAAATCCTGTCCCTTCATCAACAGTTCAAAGATGGAATAACACAAGATATGATGAAATACAAACATTTATTTACATGATTTTTCAGGTCTTTGAAATTTGGGAAATAATTTTTGTTCCATGTTTCATTCATGGTCTGTTTAAAACATATGGAACTTTAGAACCAAAAATGGAACAGAAAAAAGGTCAACAGTTTGATAAACTCGAGTACATATGTATCTGTTCAATACATTTTTATATCAGATGAATTCACTTGAAGTTTTGGTCTTGTTGTTTACTTCTGTTTGACCAGGACCAAAAGTAATTTATTGTTTTATCATTATTCGTTTCATGTTGTTGTTCTTCCTCTTCTTCTCTTGCCGCTCGATTGGTCCATCGGAAAATCGAGTCCCCGCGGTCACTTCTGCTGTGACTTTTTTTGTTGTGTTGCGGCGTTTGCGTTTGTTGTGACCCTCTCCAGTGTTGGGAAGTTTACTTTTAAAATGTAATCCCCTACAGATTACAGATTACATATCCCAAAATGTAGTTTGTAACGGAATCCATTAAACTACTTAAAGTGAGTAATGTAATCTGAATACTTTGGATTACTTGATTTGTTGTAGAGAAACAAAGACCTGGTTTAGTCCTGGTTTAGTCCTGGTTTAGTTCTCTGTGTAATCCATTTATTTCAACAAAGTAACTGTAATCCAATTACCACTCACTGAAACAGTAACTGTAACTGAATACAGTTACTCATCATTTGTACTCTGATTACATAACTCCGGTACATGTAATCTGTTACTCCCCAACACTGTTGACTCTGTTTCTGTAGAACCACGTCCACCCTCGTCAAGAGCCAGAGACAGACTCCAGACTAGACTCCACTAGACTCCACTAGACGCTGGGAGAAAGTTTCTGCTTTGCAAAGAAGAATGAAAAAATCAAAATCGAAACTATTTCATGTGAGTAACAGAGTCTCAGAGCTCCACCAGGAGGCGCTGTGCTCCGGTTCACCACAGACACAGGGAGGAACCTTCCCCCAAAGCTCTAAACCCCGGGAACAGCGGCTCAGTGAAGGAGGAGCTGGAGGTGTGGAGGTGGAACAGTTCTCCACCAGAGAGAACCTCGTAGAAGGACAGAGATCCAGCGTCCGAGTCCAGGAACACGGACACTCGACCGGAGCGACGGAAGCCGAGCGAGGAGGACGACAGGGGGGTTTGTCTGTTGTCGTGTTCAAAAGAAAACTGTCCGTTAAACACCACCAGACTCCAGGACCGATCGTTGCGTCCGAACAAACACTCCTCGCTCTCTCCTCTGCGCGCGATTCCTCCGTAACTCGCCGATATCTCCACGTCCGGGCCGCTCCACTCCACCTCCCAGTAGCAGCAGCGGCTCAGGCCCGTGCGGCTCAGGACCTGGTAGTGCTCGGCGAACCTGTCCTCGTGGTCCGGGTACGGCTGCGTCTGTCTCACGTGGGTCGCCGTCCGTTTGTCCTCGGACAGTTTCAGGTTTCTGTGAGCCGTGTTTGGATCCAGAGAAAACTCGCAGAAATCTGAGGATGTACAAAAAAAAAAAAAACACATCACTTCCTGTTCCTGAGAATGAAGATCTGAGTCCAATAGAGCTTTTTCACAACGACCGGAAGTGCCACGATACAGGGCAAACCTCACTTCCTGTTAATGGTTTTCTGTGTAAATGTGTTTTATTCTCCAGCAGCTTCATAAATCTGCCCCATCACCAAATCTTCAACCAACAAACTCCACAAAGGATAAACATTCTAACATGAACAATTTATCCACAACGATCAAGAGAAGAAAGAACAAAACTTAAAGGAAACAACGACGACACATTAGTCACACAACAAACTCAACTAACGTTATGCAAATGAATAAAACAGGAGGAACTTGTTCACTCAGACTCATTCTACAATTAAAATAAAAAATTGATTTCATGATGTAGATATTAACGTTAGACTGAACTTCTCCGATCTCAGGGAGACGCCCGGACGCCCTGCGGAGGAAACTCATTTCAGCCGCTTACATCAGCGATGTCGTCGTTTCGGTCTTTACCCAGAGCCAATGACCAGAGACTCACTCGAGAACAAGACCCCGACAGACTTGAACTCCTCCACTTGAGGCAGGGACTCTCACATGGAGAGAGCAGGACACCTTTTTTCAGGTCGAGAACCACGACCTCGGACTCGGAGGAGCTGATCTTCATCCCAGACGCTTCACACTCGGGTCAAACCGTCCCAGAGCTGCAGGTCCTGGTCTGATGAAGACGACAGGACGACATCATCTGTGAACAGCAGAGATGATCCTGTGGTCCCCAAACCGGACCCTCCGACCCCTGACCCCTGACCCCTGACTGCACTGAGAAACTCTGTCCATAAATACAATGAACAGAACCAGTGACAGGGGCGGCCCTGGCGGAGTCCAACATGCACCTGGAACAGGTCTGACTTAGTTTCAGCAATGAACACAGCTCCTGCTCCAGTCGTACAGAGACCGGACCCCAGACTCCCAGAGCGCCCCCCACAGGACACCACGAGGGACACGGTCGAACACCTTCTCCAGATCCACAAAACACATGTGGACTGGTTGGACAAACTCCCATGAACCTCGAGCACCGATGGAGAGTGTAGAGCTGGTCCAGTGTCCACGACCGGGAGGAAAACCACACTGCTCCTCCTGGATCTGAGGTTCGACTATCGGACAGATTCTCCTCTCCAGTCCCTGGCATAGACCGGGAAGGCTGAGAAGTGTGATCCCCCTATAGTTGGAACACACCCTCCGGTCCCCCTTCTTATACAGAGGGACCACCACCCCGGTTTGCCAGTCCAGGCTTCACGGCATCCCTTACCTCCGGCGTCCACCACCGGGTTTGGGGATTGCCGCCGCGACAGGCACCACAGACCTTATGACCACAGCTACGAGCAGCCGCATCGACAATAGAGGCCGAGAACAAAGCCCATGTGGACTCCATGTCTTCAGCTTCCCCCAGTATCTGGGAGAAGCCAAGAGTTGAAGGTCCCTCTGACAGAGGCTCCACCAGACGTTCCCAACAGATCCTCACTACACACTTGGGCCTGCCAGGTCTTTCCGGCTTCCTCCTCCGCCAGCGAACCCAACTCACAACCAGGTGGTGATCAGTTGACAGCTCAGCCCCTCTCTTCACCCGAGTGTCCAAGACACGCGGCCGGAGATCAGATGACACGACGACAAAGTCGATCATCGACCTCCGGCCTAGGGTGTCCTGGTGCCACGTGCACTTATGGACACCCTTGTGCTCGAACATGGTGTTTGTTATGGACAAACTGTGACTAGCACAGAAGTCCAATAACAAAACACCACTCGGGTTCAGATCAGGGAGGCCGTTCCTCCCAATCACCCCTCTCCAAGTGTCACTGTTGTTGCCCACGTGGGCGTTGAAGTCCCCCAGGAGAACAACGGTCGGTGCACTGTCTAGTACCCCTCCCAAGGACTCCAAGAAGGCCGGATACTCGAGTACTCAGCACTGCTGTTCAGTCCATAGGCGACACCACAGTGAGAGACCTGTCCCCGACCCGAAGGTGCAGAGACATGACCCTCTCGTTCACCGGGGTGAACTCCAACACGTGGCGGCTGAGCTGTGGGGCAATGAGCCCACACCAGCTCGCCGCCGCTCCCCGTGGGCAACAAAAGAGAAAAGTAGAGGGTCCAACCCCTCCCGAGGAGTTGGGTACCAGAGCCCAAGCTGTGTGTAGAGGTGACCCCAACTATATCTAGACGGTACCTCTCAAACTCCTGTACAAGCTCAGGCTTCTTCCCCCCCCAGCGAGGTGATGTCCCACGTCACTACAGCCAGGGTCTGTGACCGTGGACTAGGTCGCCGAGGCCCCTGACTGTCACCTAGTTCACTTTGCACTCGACCCCTATGAAACCGTCTGCGGGTGGTGAGCCCACTGGAGAGCGGGTCCACGTCGTCCTTTTGGACTGAGCCCGGCCAGGTCCTGTGGGCAAAGGCCCGGCCACCAGGCGCTCGTTTTCAAGCCCCACCTCCAGGCCTGGCTCCAGGGTGGGGCCCCGGCTGTGCCATACCAGGCGACGTCACGGTCCTTGTTGTTTTCAGAGTTCTTTGTCAGCTGCTCTGTCTGACCCCTCACCTAGGACCTGTTTGCCATGGGAGACCCTACCAGGGCATAATGCCCCGAGCAACACAGCTCCTAGGATCATCTGGGTACACGAACTCCCCCACGGAGGTGGCAGTTCGCTCCCCCTTTGAACTGCTGGGGTCTGTCATGTAGATTTTATTACAGACATATGACACAACTACTGCAGCAGATTGTGAAATAACAGGCTGTACTGAAAAAAAGGATGTAAAACACTTCATTAGGGGAAAAGGGAGAGTTTTAAACTCAAAATTAAGAAAAGCTGCCCTTAGGTCTGGAAGGGATAAAGCTACATAATGTTAATGTTTCCATGAACTGAATAAAACTGAGAGACTCACACTTCCTCAGACCTGGGACCATCCACTTTTCTCCAGCAGGATCCAACCTGAAACACACAAGTCCAGTTTAGACCAGACCAGAGACCAGGATCTGGACCAACCATGGCCCAGAGACCCACTGAACCAGGACCCTCACCTGAGAGACTGCAGGGAGCAGTGGGGGTCGTCTCGTAGAGCGGTCAGGAGCTCGGCGGAGGGTCCTGGATGGTTGTAGCTCAGGTCTAACTCTCTGAGGCGGCAGGTGGTGGAACTCAGAGCTGAGGCCAGAGCAGCCCCGCCCCTCTCTGAGACCAGACATCCACACAGCCTAAAGACACAGCATTACACTCATGTGGACACAAGGGGGCAGAGTGCATCATGGGAGCGTCTCACCTGAGCGTCTCCAGTCTGCAGGGGGCGCTCTTCAGTCCAGAACAGAGCAGCTCCACTCCTGAGTCCTGGAGGTCGTTGTGACTGAGATCCAGATGTGTGAGACTGGAGGAGCTGAGGACTGAGGCCAGAGGAGCACAGCTGTGAGGAGACAGACCACAGCCACAAAGACTGAGGACAGAGAGGGACATTAGAGACTAGAACCTCCACACAAGAGTTTAAATACAGTCTGAGGACAGAGAGGGACATTAGAGACTAGAACCTCCACACAAGAGTTTAAATACAGTCTGAGGACAGAGAGGGACATTAGAGACTAGAACCTCCACACAAGAGTTTAAATACAGTCTGAGGACAGAGAGGGACATTAGAGACTAGAACCTCCACACAAGAGTTTAAATACAGTCTGAGGACAGAGAGGGACATTAGAGACTAGAACCTCCACAGAGTTTAAATACAGTCTGAGACAGAGAGGGACATTAGAGACTAGAACCTCCACACAAGAGTTTAAATACAGTCTGGACTCACAGGGCTTTGGTGGAGGCTCTGACCACCGGCAGCAGACCCAGGAGACCTGTCTCTGAGGGACAGTATTTCCTCAGGTCAAACTTCTCCAGGTCTGAGTCTGAGGACAGTAAGACGAAGGACAGAAAAGACCACAGAGCAGGAGACTTGTATCTAAGAGAGAGGTAGCTTTTCATGTGCTTCTGTATCTCCTGCACCATAGTGCCGTTGTCGAGCTCGTTCAGACAGTGGAGCAGGTTCAGACTTCTCTCTGCAGACAGACCCTCTTCATCCAGCTTCTGTTTGATGAACTTTACTGTCTCCTGATTGGTCGGGTCACTTCCTGTATGAGTCAGCAGACCCTGCAGCAGCCTCTGATTGGTCGGCACTGAAAGACCCAGGAGGAAGCGCAGGAACAGGTCCAGGTGTCCGTTTGGACTCTGTAAGGCCTGGTCCACAGCAGAGCAGTAGAAGGCTTCAGTGTCAGGACACTCAGAGGACTGTGGTGGGTTCAGCAGGTTGATCCCAGTGTTGATGAAGGTCTGATGGACGTGAAGAGCAGCCAGAAACTCCTGCACACTCAGATGGATGAAGCAGTAGACCTTGTCCTGGTACAGGCCTGGCTCCTCTCTAAAGACCTGTGTGAACACTCCGGAGTACACTGAGGCCGCTGCAGCGTCCAGCCCACACTCGCTCAGGTCACTCTCGTAGAAGATCAGGTTTCCTTTCTGCAGCTGCTCAAAGGCCACTTTTCCCAGACTTCACCATCTTCTTGGTTTCTTCAGTCCAGTGAAGGTCCTCCCCTGATCCCTGCTGATACTTGATGTTCTGGACTTTGGCCTGCACCACCAGGAAGTGGACGTACATCTGTGTGAGAGTCCGGGGCAGCTCTGGTTCCTCTGTTTGTTCCAGAAGCTTCTGTAGAACTGTGGAGAGGATCCAGCAGAACATCGGCATGTGGCTCATGATGTGGAGGCTGCGGACGCTCTTGATGTGGGAGATGACGACCGTGGCCTGGTCTCTGAACCTCTTCCTGAAGTACTGCTCCTTCTGTGGGTCGGTGAACCCTCTGACCTCTGTCACCATGGAGACGCACTCAGCAGGGATCTGATTGGCCGCGGCGGGGCGCGTGGTTATCCAGAGGAGAGCGGAGGGAAGCAGGCTCCCCCTGATGAGGTTCACCAGCAGCACGTGCACTGAGGCGGACTCTGTGGGGTCGCTCAGGACCCGGGTTCGGCCGAAGTCCAGAGGAAGTCTGCACTCGTCCAGACCGTCAAAGATGAAGAGCACCTGGAGGTCTGTTGGAAGCTGCAGAGATCTTTGGATGGACTGAAGAAGTGGTGCAGCAGCTCCACCAGGCTGAACTGTGTGTCTCTGAGCACGTTCAGATCTCTGAAAGTGAAGGGGAACAGCAGCTGGAGGTCCTGGTGGGCCCGGCCTTCAGCCCAGTCCAGACTGAACTTCTGAGTCAGCACTGTTTTCCCCACGCCGGCCACGCCCTTCGTCAGCACTAATTTGATTGGCTGTGGTGAATGTGGGCGGGGTTTAAAGAGCTCTTCACATGTGATGGTCTCTGGAGCGGCCGATCTCCTGGACGCCGTCTCCAGGAGTCTGACCTCATGTTCTTGGTTGACCTCTGAGGCTCCGCCCTCTGTGATGTGGAGCTCTGTGTAGATCTGGGTCAGGGGGGCGGAGTCTCCTGCTTTAGCCACGCCCTCAAACACACGACTGAACCTCTGCTGCAGACGCTTCCTCAGTTCATCTCCACAAACTCCAACAGTGTTTCCTGAAAAAAGACAAAAACAAATGCTCTTAGAATTGTGAAACAGTGAAAACCTCTTCCATCCATTTTCTTCCACTTATCCGGGGTCGGGTCACAGGGGCATCAGTCTAAGCAGGGACTCCCAGACTTCCTTTACCCCAGACACTTCCTCCAGCTCCTCCGGGGGGACCCCGAGGTGTTCCCAGGCCAGTCCAGAGACATAGTCCCTCCAGTGTGTCCTGGGTCTTCCCCGGGGCCTCCTCCCTGTGGGACATGAACACCTCCCGAGGGACACGTCCAGGAGACATCAGAACAGATGCCCGAGCCTCAACTGGCTCCTCTCGACGTGGAGGAGCAGCGGCTCTACTCCGAGCTCCTCCCGTGTGACTGAGCTCCTCACTCTGTCTCTAAATGAGCGCCCAGCCACCCTGCGGAGGAAACTCATTTCGAGTTCTTGTATCTGCGATCTCGTCCTTTCGGTCACTACCCAGACTCATGACCAGAGGTGAGAGGAGGAACGAAGACTGACCGGTAAATCGAGAGCTTCACCTTTCGATTCAGCTCCTCTTCACCACAACGATACAGCGACCGCATCACTGCAGACGCTGCACCTGTCCACCTGTCAATCTCACGCTCCATCCTCCCCTCACTCCAGAACAAGACCCCGACATACTTGAACTCCTCCACTTGAGGCAGAGACTCTCCACCCACCCGGAGAGGACAAGACGCCTTTTTCCGGTCGAGAACCATGACCTCGGACTTTGAAGAGCTGATCTTCATCCCAGACGCTTCACACTCGGGTCAAACCGCCCCAGAGCTGCAGGTCCTGGTCTGATGAAGCCAACAGGACAACATCATCTGCAAACAGCAGAGATGAAATCCTGTGGTCCCCAAACCGGACCCTCCGACCCCTGACTGCGCCTAGAAATTCTGTCCATAAAAACAATGAACAGAACCGGTGACAGGTGCAGCCCTGGCGGAGTCCAACATGCACCGGGAACAGGTCTGACTTACTGCAGCAGAGAACACAGCTCCTGCTCCAGTCGTATAGGGACCGGACCCCAGACTCCCAGAGCGCCCCCCACAGGACACCACGAGGGACACGGTCGAACACCTTCTCCAGATCCACAAAACACATGTGGACTGGTTGGGCAAACTCCCATGAACCTCGAGCACCGGTGGAGAGTGTAGATCTGGTCCAGTGTCCACGACCAGGACCAAAACCACACTGCTCCTCCTGGACCCGAGGTTCGACTATCGGACAGATTCTCCTCTCCAGTTTCTGACAGTTAAAACCTCTTCACTTAAAACTAAATCCTTTAACTTGCATTTTACCTTAAAAATAACGATATTGGAGCTGCACTGGATCAAAACTCACACATACAGATGCTCATCAGACCAGAGGGTTTGATTTTTTGCTGAGTGGAAAAAAGGATCAGAGGCTCTGATTTGTGATGTATTTATTAATTGTTACGCCAACGTGTTTCGAGCAGCAGGTCTGATTAAAAACAAATATTTAGTTTTTAATCATCACTTTTTCCACTCAAAATGCGTTTAACCTTGTCGTATGCAAATTGTTAGGAAGATATTTTTTACAACTCGTCTAATCTTTGCTGTGTTTTTGCATTTATACAACAAAAGTCAGATCAACACTGGCAGAGGCAGGAGTCTAAGTCTGCGTTCAGTCTGCACCTGAAGTGACCCAAATCAGATTTTTTGTCTCTATGTTCTTGTATCTGATCTTTTAATGTCTGAACCACACAGATCTGATCTGTGCTCCTGAAACTGATCCATATCTGATCTTTAACATGTGACTTGAGTGTGAACAGTCAGGTCACATTCATCCACCTACACGTCATCAACAAGACACAAACGTCACTATTCTGCACTGAAGTAGAGAAAACTGTTCATGATCCATGTGACTGAAGTGAAGCACATCTCCACTCACCACAAAACACCACCACCAAAAACCTGGTCCTTCTCCTTCTCAATCTCCTCCTTAAAACAAGTCAGTTGTTCATGTTGTGGCTCCGGTACGAGAGGAACTTTAAAATCTCCAGGTGCTCGATGCTGCGTCCATGTTTGTTCAACTTGTGTAAACACAGAGACGCTCGCTGCGGTTGACGTCGTCGTGTCTCCAGTGTCACATGTGGGACACTTTTGGACCGTTTAATGTTCACACTGGAGTCACACACAAGTCACATTTAACTGGAAATGTGAACGACCTCGAAAAAACATCGAATTTCACAAAAAAATCTGAATTGAGCGTTAAACCTGCAGACTGAACGGAGACTAAGAAATGTTTGTTAAACTGTGGTTCACTAAATATTCTGGTTCAGGTGCTTTTGTTTTTGTTGTGAGTTGGACATCAGGTTTATAGGGTTGAAAATCTGAAAAACAAAAGTGTTCTTACTGTTCTGCAGGCGCTGGGCCAGCTGCTCCTGGTCCATCCTCCTCAGAAAGTCCAGGGTGATGTTCAGAACCTCTGTGCTGCTCTGCTCCTCCTCCTCACTCCTGGAGCATCCTGGGTAATCTGAGTCCAGGAGCCCGCGGAGCCTCTGCAGCTGCTCTTTGACAAAAGTCAGGACGTCCTCCTCCAGACGCTGGAACAGAACGATAAGAGAAGAGTTTTAGTCAAAGAGAAAACCCGAGGAGCACCCGGAGAACCCCACACATGCTGCGCTCGTGGGGTACTCACCCTGAATATGGCGTCCAGCTGCTCCTTTGGGCCTGGCTCCCTGTCAAACAATAAACTCATCATCATTTATTTGTTCCAGACTCATGGTCCATAAAAGAACAGAAACAGGGATGTAAAAACACAGAACTGCACAAACTAAAGCCACGTTTATCTGATGAGGGTCTGAACAGAAGATGCAAAAGCAGCGTCGCGTCTTTACTTTTTATTCTTGCGTTTAGCCGAGTGTTTTCAGGAGTAAATCTGCCGCAGACGGTGATGCAAAAGTGTGTGGGATTGGATTGTGTGTTTGTACTTAAAGGGCCCATCTCATGCAAAATCCACTTTTCAGATCTTTCTACCTCCTCTGAGTGACGTGTGGCCTTGGATTTGTCGCCCAAGTGTTTTTTTCAGATTGAGCCATTGATGTTCATTTTGTCTTCTTATATACTTTAACTTCTTAGGTTCTGGTGTTGATGGTGACGCCTACAGGAAGTAACAACAACTGATACACGACACGTCACCACCAACACCAGGACAGATCTGAAGATGCAGCAGCCGAAACATGTCAACAAGGTAAACAACACTTTACTGCAGTGTCTTTAAAAAGAACCTCAAGAAGTTAATGTCACTCGTCGTAGGACCATGTTTTCTTTATTGTCTTGTTTATCCACAACTTTGTCTTCTAGAATTAATCTCTTTTTGTGAGTGGATCTTTGTAACGTCGTGAGGATCTTTTCATGGTCGATTCTTTCGAGGTTCGACTCACAGACTCTTGGACTCGTGCGTCGTGTTGATCACAGGAGCCAGTGTGGGTTCATTGAATCATAAACTAGTGCAGGTTTTCCTGGATAAATTAATGACATTTTAGTTCAGTAAATGTGCTTCTTTCATTAAATCAACTATGAAACAATTTAAATAGCAAATATCTTGATGAAAGTGACGTGAGTCTTGATGGGACCATTGGAAATCTCTTGGTGGTTTATGTTTCTAGACATAATTTCCTTGTTTGATCCTGATGAGTCATTTCCAGAGGAACAGTGAAGAAACAAATCATTTTATCCTTTCAGAGCTTCTAGACCAGGAGAGTCAAACTCATTTTGTTCCGGGGGTCGTGTCCAAACGACTTTGATCCAAAGTGTCTGGATCAGAAAACTCCCAAAAATAACAATAAGTTCAAATATTATAATATTATGAACAACCTGAAACTTTAAGAAAAATACAATTTCAACACAAAGTTTGAACATGAACTTGTCTGTAAACAGAATAAGTCCATTTTTGTTGTAAAATTCTGCACTCGGCTCCACTTTTCTCATGTTGGACATTTTTCTGATGAGGGTGTCACGGTCAACAGTCAAAACGATCGTCCTTTAAGAGCGTTTGGAAAGAGACAAGTCTTCATTTGTGCTGCTCTGGTGGGAGGGGCCACGTACAGAGACGCTGGAGACGCTGCTGTGATAAACACCACAGAAAATTAATGTAAATATTAAAATATTTTAGTAGAAAATCACCCAAAGGCCACATTAAAGGTCTTGGAGGGCCGGATCTGGCCCCCGGGCCGTATGTTTGACACCTGTGATTTAGAACAACAAATACACAACAAAACCGGCCCATGTTTCTTCGACGCTGCTGAAGTCAGTGACACAGTGTGTCTGGTGTCATGGCGGCGTAGGTCCTGTTGTCATGGAGACACGTGACGGTGCAGAGACTCTGTAGTTGATCTCTACAGACCTGAGTCGACGTTTATACGATGAGGGTCTGAACAGAAGACGTAAAAGCGACGTCGCGTCTTCACTTTTTATTCCGCGTTTAAAGTCGAGCGTTTTCGAGAGGAAATCTGCTGCACACGGTGACGCGAAAGTGTGTGGAACTGGATTGTGTTTGCACGTCAGGTTTCTGTGTCCTGTATGTCTGCGCCGTAAACTCGTACACGACCTGAGCACATCTGACCAGAGTTTTGCATCTTGGGCAGTGGAGACGGAAACACTACGGCGGCACCTATTCAACTTTTCCACTCTAGGGGGCGGTTTCACATTTTTCAGTTTTTAAGCCCCAAAAACACCGTCACCGTCTAAACCAAAGACACTTCCAATAAAATATTTTGTCATTTTTACCTGTTCTCGTGTAAACAGGCCCTAAAGGTAAAAGTTCACATGAAAACTGCGGCTTTGTGCATCGTGTCCGTTTAACGAGGATCTGGTTTGTGGTGCAGATTTTTTTTCCTCAACAATTTCCTGAACAAAAACATGTCAGACAAATCATTTGATGCAATCAGCACAACAAACAAATTTCTTCTTCCAAAGTCTGAACTCTGCTCCAAACGACGTGATTTGGAATCGAGACATTTTGAATGAAAAGTGTGAAAAGACCTGTTCAAACGACTCGAGTCTCACCTCTGGTCTTCAGGAGGAGCTTCTCTAAATGAAGGAGGAGTTCCTTTGGAGCGGTCACTTTTCAGAGACACAGAGCTGGGAGCAGGTTCAGGTTCAGGTTCAGGTTCAGGTTCAGGTCTGGGTTCAGGTTCAGGTCTGGGTTCAGGTTCAGGTCTGGGTTTAGACCCGGGTCCAGGTCCAGGTGGGTCCATGTCGTAGGAGCTGGAATCAGAAGAAGAGTCAGTTTGAACAGAACACGCAGACATGTCTCCTCAATCTGTGTGTCGTTCGTTCATTTGTTTTTCAATATAAAACCAAAAATAAGAAAATGAAAAAACAACAGTTTTCTTCATTATTTGTCTCCAAAACCAAAATGAAGAAACTTTTTTTCAGTTTTCAATTTTGTGTTTAAATGAAAAATGGAAAAAACGGATAACGAACGTTTACGTGACTTCAGTGACTGTGATGCCGAACTTTTACACCGCGTACGGACTGAACCAGGACTGATCCAGGTCCGAGACCAGAGTGGGACCAGACCGGGACCAGACCGGGACCAGACCCAGTGGGACCAGACCGGGACCAGAGCGGAACCAGACCGGGACCAGAGGGACCAGAGACCAGAGCGGGACCAGAGTGGGACCAGACCGGGACCAGAGCGGGACCAGAGACGGGACCAGACCGGGACCAGGGGACCAGACCGGACCAGAGCGGGACCAGACCGGGACCGGGACCAGACCGGGACTCCGAGAGGACCAGGGACCAGACCGGACCAGACCGGGACCAGGGACCAGACCGGACGGGACCAGACGGACCAGAGCGGGACGGGACCAGACCGGGACCAGATCGGGACCAGAGCGGGACCAGACTCCGAGCTTTGACTCAGCCTCAGCTTCGAGCTCCAGACCTGTCGTGGGCTCTGAGCCTCCGGTCTGGTCCCGGTCTCAGTCCTGCTCTGGTCCTGGACCTGGATCAGTCCTGGTTCAGTTCGGCATCTCAGTCACTGAAGTCACGTAAACTGGAAACGGTCGTGATCTGTTTTTTTCCATTTTTCATTTAAACACAAAATCGAAAACTGAAAAAACAAATCATTATCAGTTTTTTCATTTTGGTTTTGGAGACAAATAATGAAGAAAACTGTTATTTCATTTTCTTATTTTTGGTTTTATATTGAAAAACAAACGAACGACACACAGATGTTCCTCCTCCAGATGTGGAACTGAAACGAGTCTCTGTTCTGCTCCCAGAGTCTGAGACTGAAGCTCTGTGTCTCCCTCTGCTGGACACTTCACCACATCAACATGATCAAACCTGGACCACAGAAATCACAGAACTAAACTCTGACTAAAGAATCATGTGGTTTTAAGGCAGGAGCGTCGGACCTGGAGCGTCGGACCTGGAGCGTCGGACCTGGAGCGTCGGACCTGGAGCGTCGGACCTGGAGCGTCGGACCTGGAGCTGCTCCAGTCGTCTCCACCTCCTCCAAACTGCACCAAAGGATTTACGAAAATAATTAATAAAATGTGATTAATTATAAAAAATAAATGATCATGTTGATGCTCGAGTCACTGCAACGACTGAACCAGGACTAAACCAGGACTAAACCAGGTCTAAACCAGGACTAAACCAGGACTAAACCAGGTCTAAACCAGGACTAAACCAGGACTAAACCAGGTCTAAACCAGGTCTAAACCAGGTCTAAACCAGGACTAAACCAGGACTAAACCAGGTCT